AAAGAGTGCAAAGCCTCACAGGAGCGCACAAAGCACAAAATGTCTCTTCTGCTCGTTCAAAAGACTCTTCCCAGCTCCTTGCACTAGGCAGGAGTGCGTGAGCAGGGATTCAGAGCTCCCCTCCCACTGAGCTCGCAGCTAAAGCCCTCCCCCAGTTCCCAGGGTCTTCAAATGAAGATTTGCATAGTAGTTCCAGATCATTCCCGAGAGAAGGGACAATGGCTCTCTCAACGCCCTCTTCCCCCCATCCCTCCCTCCCAAAGCTGATAAAGCCTTGGTGAAAAGGGGAACAAAGGATTTACAGATGTCAGAATATTGATTTCTGCCGTTCCAGGACTACAGGGAGAAGATGAAGAAAACTTTTGCCCCCAGAAACCTGCGGAGTTTGAGACACAGACGCTATCTCTGCAGCACGAACCCCGCGTTTGTTTAGACAGTCTCTGATGGAGGCAATATTGCTATTCGAGAGGGATAAGCCCTGAACACGCGAAAACGCAGGGGATGAGATTACAGCCTGCAGTCCCAGAGAGGCGTTTGTTGTTCCCAGCCGCGCTGAACGGAGGCGTTTCCAGCGACTGCAGTTTGCCCCCAGGCGGGCCGGGCCGGCATTGCTGCGGGCGGCAGCTCCCGCCCCGCTCATCCCGGCCCCGCTGGATCCTGCCCCTCTCTGCCCCCGCCGCTGCCGCTGGGACAAGGATCGGAAAGGAGGTGAAATCTTTGAGTCTTTGGCAGGCGGCCTCTGATTCGGAATCAGAGTGGAACGGATTGCCACTAAACTCACTAAATTTAGGGCCGTTACCTGAAAGCCAAAGCTTTCTGCTCCCACATTTCTGTGCACAGCCCATGCAAACCCGAGCTTGCTTTTGCACTACAGAAATTCCTTTCCACTGTAGTGCATCAACTCCACTGACCTCCACCTCCACCAGCTCGCTGCAATCGCTCAGATTGTGCTAAACAGAGCGGTGACAGGATCCAAAGTGTCACATGGCACTGCTGCACGGCCAGCACGGGACTGGCACTGGGCAGCCAAGGGAGCTCCTGGCCTGACCTCCCCCTGTCCCACCACTGCTCTGAAGCAGCTTTCAGCTTTCTCTCTGGGACTGCCTGCTGCCACTTTACAGACAGACATACATACATACAAATATTATATTTTTTTTCCCCTTTTCAGAGCTATCTCTGTAGCATTTCTTCACTCAAAAAGTTCCTGGGACGCTGGATCTTTTGTAAAAATGTACCTGATTAAAATTCCTCTATGTTGGAATTCAGTACATCCCTCCAGGTGTCCAGAGTTGCCGAGGACCCTGCCGGGGGACTCAGAGACCCTGGCACACAGCCCAAAACACCTGGGGATTTGATTTTGACCCCTGGAGCAAGTTGCCAACTTTGTATGAGGACCTGAAAGTCACAGAGGTTTGAATAGCGTAATAATAGAATTATCACAGGGTGAAAATGTAGATTGTAGGATTTTTGGTATGGGGGTTATGGGGACAAGATGGAGGAACTTGGGCATGTCTAGCTCTTCTTCTTCATCATCATTTTCTGCAGTGACGTTGGCACTTTGGGATTGGCTTAGAGTAGAAGTGCACTGTCCAACATAGGTGATAGGTATTGGGAATTAAGTGTAAATATGTTATACATAGTTAGTAGTATAAAAGGACAGCACTGCTTCGGGGATGATCAGAGTGCCTGTGGCTGTCTTGCTGAGCTGATCTCAGCTGGGCAGAAAGAAAATTTTATATATAAGAATTAATAAACAACCTCAAGACTGAAAAGTGCAGAGTCCAGACTCATTCTTCAGTTGCACGGGCCAAAGCAGAGACATCCTGCACATCTCAGGGCAGCAATTAACAACAGCTACCCGAGATCTCTAAATATGGGATTTAGGCCGTTTTTAAAGGTGATAAGTTATTTTCTGAATCAAGCTCTAGGCCCCTCAGATTTTCCCTGGGGGAAAACCCCACCTGAAATCCTTTCTGCAGGGCAGAGTGGTGAGTACAAAAGGGTTTCCCATGCCATGGGTCAATAACTCAGACAGAACTGCAGAGCCAGAGCTGACTGTTCCCTCATTTTCCACACAGCTTTGTACAAACACGTGCTGTCAGGAGGACTGCAATCATCACAGTGATAACAACCAGCACATATTGTAGAGTTAAACACATTTCACACAACTACATCAAAACATTATGCACAATACTCTTCAAATATCTAGGTTTCTTTCAATACCTGCCTGTCTTCCCTCAGCTGAAAGAAATTATTCTTATGGAATCTTTTGTGTCTCCCAGCAGCCACTCCTAATTTACATTTAAAGATGTGAATCAGACCCACCAGACTCCTGATACAGCTCACACAGAGATTAATCACAGCTGTTGGGATGATGAAGACTAAGGCAGGCCCATTTTAAATCAGTGTCACTCAGACTGTAATGAACCTGCTGCCACACTCAGCTTCAGCTGAGACACAAACATGGTGCTCTCCATGAGCCCCTTGGAGCTACATGGGTGAGCTCCTGGGGAGCTGTGCTGAGGTGCCCTCTCCAAAGGGCATTTTCCAGACTGTCAGAGGAGTAAAGGTGTCAGGGAGAAGCAAACCTTGGCTGCTCTCACCCCCTGCTTAACACTCACATGTTAACACATGCAGCAGCAGCACAGCTCACAAACCTGTTTTATTTTAGAGAGAATTTTCACTCATCCTAGGCAGATGTTTGTTTATTTTGCTGATTCTTTGTTTTCTTTTGTTCGTAAACATTAGTGTCTGTTGCTTACCTAAATATTTTTTTGCTACAAACAAGAGTAGTTCTGTTTATACATTTCCTGCTACAAATTAGCTTTAGTATACAGAATTCAGTCTTAGTTTTATCACTGAAATACTGTACCAAATAATTCTCAGATCTTCTGTTTCCCCCAAAACCCCACATGCAAATTCTTTTCATATTAAAAGTCTGATATGTTAGACATCTCATAAGCCTGAATCCAAAGGATGAATGTGTGGAAAGGCAAAATCTCCCTCCAGTGTGGGTTTAGCAGAGCAGGTGTGTGTGCACATGGCAAGCCCCAGCAGTTTGAGGGCTGTTTTGTACAAAATGCATCCTGTCCATGGTGACAGAACACTTGTGCAGGTACACACAGTACCTGGGAATAACTTCTTCCAGTATGGAAACAAAGCAGTCTTCAAAACTATTCATTAAATAAAATCATACAAAAGCAAAGTACTGGAAGATGTAATTGTAATTTAAAAAAATAAGAACAAAGAAACCAAAGCACTTTTAACAGTTTACAGTGCCCAGATAAAGTAAATAACTGAGCAATATTTTTATGCCAAGGTGTGTTTCACAACAGCTTTCCAAGGTTCTGGCCATCTTACATTCACACAGTAAATTGGACACCAGCCCTGCTCCAAGTGAAAATGGGTAAGGAAATCCTGTTCCCCAGCAGCAAACACATCTCCCCACCATCTTACAGCCATTCCAGGCTGCATTCCTTGGTCTTGGCAACAGAGAAGTGACCAATTCCATGGGAACGAGGTGTGCACATGAGCAACCAACCCCCTCCTTCCAACAGCAACCTTGTTTGGAGTAAAACACAATTCCTTCATGTCATTCCTCTCAGACCAGCCCCTACCACTGTCCTTCCCAAATGCTCAGTTTCTTCGCTTTTTTTACTGTAAGAATTTCTATATGGACCATGGGAATCCTCTCATTTTGCTGTGGGGTTTTAAGTGCTGAAAAATGTGCTGTCCAAAAGTCAAACAGCCAACCACCAGGCCCCAATAAAGAACTAAAAGAAAACCTAGATATCTGTAATATTTTTTTTAGGAGATCTTATGTTCATTCAAGTGATGTTATTATTTCAGTAGAATCATGCCAGGAATCCATGTAATTAAAAACACATTGGTGGTAACAGAAGTGCAGCATTTGAGGGCCCCTTTGATCCCCTCATGGGGACCTCCATCCCCTGCCTGGGACCTCCCCAGCCCCTCACTGACCCCACAGCCCGAGGACTTTGCACTCTCTGAACTGCTCATCACTCTCTACCTGACAGGAGGATGGAGGCAGGTGAAAATCGGCCTTTTCTCCCAGGCAATAGCAACAGGACAGGAGAGAACAGACTTCAGCTGCACCACGGGAGGTTAAGGCTGGACATCAGGAGTAATTTCTCCATAGAAAGTGTGATCAGACATTGGAATGGGCTGCCCAGGGAGGAGGTGCAATCACTGCCCCTGGAGGTGTTTAAGGAAATACTGAGTGACATGGTCTGGCTGACACGGTAACGTTCGGTCATACGACGGACACGATGCTCCCCGAGGTCACCGCCAAGCTAAACGAGTTTATGCCTCTGTCACGCTGTGTCTCTGTCACCGCCCCCAGGCCGA